GAAACCGAAGTGCCGCGGAATTTTTGCAAAAAGGTCGAAAGTGCGTAGGGATGTGAAAAATCATGTATAAAAGGAATCTGCGGAGGGGAAAAAGATTTTATCCCCATTCAACAAACCAGCCGTCGCCTTCATGGTTAACCCCGTCGAAGCGCGCACCACTGCCCACCCTGTGCAAACCCTAGATCCAGCTACGAACACATTCTGCGAGTGTAGATCCAGATTGATGGATAGGAGCAAGAAGGGGAGCAGTGGACCCAAGAAAGCTGCCGTAGAGAACAGAGAGCTGATGAAGATGGCGGCGGAGATGAAGATCTGGCCAGAGCCGACCACCACGGAAGCGCATCTTGTAGAGCTGCATGATGAAGGATACCTGCCGGAACGAGGTTTCGGGGAGTGGAGGGAACCCGGAGAACACCGCATACCAAATCTCAACCCCAGTGAGATCGTCCTGTTTAGACCTTTCATCAAACGGGGATTAGGGTTGCCTTCTTCCTGATTTCTGCGGGGATTGCTGCATTTCTACAGAATAACCCTCAATCACCTGACCCCAAACTCCATTCTCCACATATCGATCTTCATCCATCTTTGCGAAACCTATCTTGGAATCCCTCCGTCGATCAATTTATTCCAGTACTATTTCAAGCTCAAGCCGCAGCCAGATGCGACTGCTCCGGCGGTAATCGGAGGAGCCAGAATCCAATTTAGGAACGGCAAGAAGGGTGAATACGTGCAGTATGTACTGATTGATTCTGTCAGAGAATGGAGGGCTGAGTGGTTCTATATGGGCAACATGCATCCACCACTAGAGCCACATAGCACTACTGCTCCCATCCCGAACACTCGGTGGGAGGAAGATACTCTATCTGCCGAAGAGTATGAGAACATCCGACCATCCGACCATGAGTGGAGTCACCGTTGTGGCCAGTTTTATCAGACGCCGAGTGCAGCCACTGCAAGCTAGGGTGCACTACGGATTCAGTACGCGGGTACTGAAGACCCGGCTCGTGTGACAGAGAACGAGCTGCCAGATGAGTTAGTGTTGACCTGAGTACAACATATACTCAAGCTGGTCGAGAAAACACCATAAATATAGTAGGAAAATTGTTGCGGTTCAAGAGTGAACTCACTTCTAAAATTATTGACAAACTAGTTTTACTTGCATCAGAGAAGAATAATTCTTACTAGCCACTGATGCCCGTGCTTTTGCTGCGGGTGGTCTGTTTGGTAGATCAAATCTTGGAAAAAAATATATTAGTAAAGGCTAATATGTCTTTTCCATTAGGTGTTCTATGGAAAGGTCTCCTTGATACATCGAACCTTCAAAAACTATGTCAAAGAAAGCTAATATTTCTTTTCCATTACGATGTCGTACCAATTTTAGGCCAGCAAATAAAATCAATGGCATGCTGGTGTAAAGAAATATTTGCTGAAGTGATTAGATTCAAAGGATGACACTAGGTAGTATTACACTACATATGTGAAAGAGCAAACACTACAGTAGCAGTACATCACTTTATGCGAGGGTTTGCAAAGAAGTGAATTAGGATTCACTACCCTTAAACAGCTAACACCATCAGATTTGAAGCACAACACTGGGTGGGGATTACATTGTAGGTGGAAAGAGCAAGCACTACAATACGGGTACATCTCCTCACACGAGGGGTTACAAAAAAAGTGAACTAGGATCCACTCCCCTTAGGCATAAGGGCACATCACTAAAACCACTTTTGAGGGTCTAGCTTCGGACCATATTAGCTTCATTCCCTTAGGGGGCCATGTGGCCACTTAGATCATGCTTCGGAGCTTGAGAAATCCACCGAGAGGATGGCATGAGGACAACCACCATCTCCTGGTGGTGGCTGAGTGAGTGGGAGAATCTCTTCTCCATCAGGTGACCCTATCTTGGAAATTCCATGGGAGGCTTCGGTTGGGGAAGGCGCAGGCAGTGTGTCCATTATTCTCTTCCCTTGGATTTTTTTTCCATGGTTGTAATTGGGATTCCATCTTGTATTGGGAACTCTCTCTCGTCCAAGGTGAAGGCCCTTCTCCTGGCCCTAGCGACAAGATAGATATCCTTCAGTTGCTGAGTGTGGTGGTCTTCAGCTTCCTTGAAGGCTTTAATTAGCCTCGCCTGCGTGAAGCAGCCAACAGGTGTGTAATGACTAATTAGAGGCACTAACGACAAAGCCTTCACGTCAATTCTCGCCTGGCGTGCTAGATAAATAATAAATCTTAAAAATTCTCACAATAATAAAAAGATCTTGTCTTTAATTTGGTAGAATGTAATCATAATCTCTAATAATAAAATATCCACATCAGCCATTACAAAAAATACATAATGGAGTCCTCTAATTTTGTATCTAAATCACCCACATATGCTATTATGAAAAATAATACAAAATAACCCCTCAATTTGTATATATAAATTACACACTATCATTACGAAAGATAATTCAAATTAACCCCATAAGTTGCATTTAAATTACCTACATCTATCCTTATGTAAGATAATTTAAAATGGTCTCCTAACTTTGTATCTAAATTACCCACCTAATATTATGAAAGATAATAAAAAACAACTCCTAACTATTACTAATTGGGGGCTTCAATGTAGCCTTCACGTTAATTCTCGCCGGACACGTTAGAAACAAAAAAATTCTAGAAATTCACATAATAACCAAGAACATAATTTTTCCTTTAATTTGGTAAACTATAATAATCATCTCTAATAATATGGGTTCTATTAAATTTCATAAAAAAATTACCCACATCGGCCATTATAAAAAATACATAAAGTTACACCTAATTTTACATCTAAATTATCCACTTGTCATTATAGATGAGGGGGTAAAGTAGACAACTGCTAATAGTGAGATGTTAAATAGTATTTTTCCCTGCCACCATTTAGAAGGAGGTGGTAGTCATCGGGCTGCATGAGTCCGAGGACGTGCACGGCGATGACCACCTCCATGTAGGTGCGGTCGTGGAGGAGGCGATACGACGGGCAAAGTGGTGACGACGATGTGGCAAACATGGCGCAACAGGTGGGCACGAAGGAGGATGGCAAGGGCGCAGGCTATGATGCATTGTTGTCGGAGCCTAAGTGGGAGAGGCGGCAGGCCCCACACTAGCAAGAGGAGAGCAGGGTTTGGCTGTGGCTGGAGAGAAAAGGTAAGACAGTTGCAAAAGGGTCATTTCCCATAGCGCTCTCATAGTGGTTGTCCGATGTTTTTATCTCTCCGATAGCAAATATGTAAGGTGCGTCATAAAACTGCCAAACGGAAGTTGTCATATATATATGTTCGCTTCGTTGAAAAAACAAGCCGAAATACTGTTCTGGCTGATTTCTTGTTAGAGAAAAACACTGTTACGGCTAAAAAAAACAAGCTGAAAAAGACGGATGGGAAATAATTAAATATCCCTTGTCCTCTTCATTTCATCATATAGCACTTGCATGCAAAGATCACATCACCCACAAAAGAAAGGTAAGCGCACCACTGCAATAATGCAATTCCATGGCAGACTTGGCACTCGGTGACTTAAGGTAGGCGGCATCGCCAATTGTCAACAAGCTTCTGGCTAACGATTCAGCTTAGCTCAGCGTGAACATGGTTCGTGAGCTCAAAAAACTGACACATCATTCATATAATACAACTTATAAAACGAAGACCCCCCACAGGGAAAGCTGACACAACTTCATATAATATAATATAGAACGAAGACCAAGGGTGTCATATTCTATTTTTGATCATAGCATTCAGACCTGAGAGAGTGGTACTTTGAATGCTTGAAAGGCCACCGGCCAGCAATGGAGCTAAAGACCACTTGTGCAATAATCAGCGAGTGATCCATAAACAATAGCTAGTTTTCAGTAAGCCCAACTCATCTCAACTTATAAAACTGTGCAATAATCAGCGAGTGATCCATAAACAATAGCTAGTTTTCAGTAAGCCCAACTCATCTCAACTTATAAAACTGCAACTGGTCCCTTAAGTATACTTTTCGTAATACGAGAAAAAAATAGAATAATGTTCTGAGAAGTGGCCTGAATATTTTGCTACTGCGCTTCCTCCCTTTGCCGGTGTACTACTGGATCAGATCTGCAGCTGACTGGCTGTTTGAGCCTTGCGTCTCATTCTCTTGCTGCTTCTTCCAGAGTCCAGTCCATCCCTCCGGCGACCTCGCGCTCGTCGTCCAAGCTTGCTCCGGAGACGCTGCTTCCTGCGCCAGTTGGTGTAAGATTTCTTGTGCCAACTTGTTAGCTATTTTCCTATGTTCATATAACAAACGAGAAATTAAAGGAAAATAATCGGTTTGTTCTCTGTTCTTCATTTATTCTTTCAGTTTCAGTAATTTTATCTCGTCTTTTTTATTCCAGGTGTTCCTTCGACTCCTTTGCTGTCTTCAACAGTTGTTTCCCTCTTCAGAACCACCTCATCCGTATTACAAAAACAGTTTTGTTTCTGCTTCCCATCGTCCATCCTTTCATCTATTCTGTTCATGTTTCATCCACCTTGTCCTGATTTTCTCGGTCACTAGACACACTCGCACCCCACATCATCTACTCGTTCATTTCTTGTACTCATTATTTCGTCCCTACCAAAAAACAAAAACTTGAAATCACCCCCCCAAAAATAGGAAGAAAAACAGTATTTCGCCATCAATTTTTTTCCCATCGTTGCTTAATTTTGGCCCCTGCAAAACCCAAACATTTCGTGCTTCGCTTTGTCCTATTCTTTTCATCTGGAAAAACTTGCATCTTGGTTCAAAATTTTCCTCCTATTACATTGCAGTCCCTACCAGTTATTTCCCCTCTGCAGAAGCACCTCATCCATACTAAAAAAAAAACCAGCTTTCTTTCTGATTCGCACCGTCCATCCATTCATCTATTGTGTTCCTTCCATTACCAATTCACCCTGTCATCTTCTTTTCATCTGGAAACACTTACATCCAAGATCTCTTCGCTCAGAAAAGAAGGGGAAGCACAAACCACTGCATCCATGGCAGACTTGGCGCTCTCTGGCTTAAGGTGGCCAGCATCGCCAATCATCAACAAGCTCCTAGCTGATGCTACAGATTACCTCAGCGTGGACTTGGTGCGTGAGCTCCAAAAACTAGAAGCCACTGTCCTGCCACAGTTTGACCTGGTGATTCGAGCGGCAGAGAAGAGCTCCCACAGGGGCAAGCTGGAGGCATGGATCCGGAGGCTCAAAGAAGCCTTCTATGATGCTGAGGACCTGCTGGATGAGCATGAGTACAACCTCCTCAAGCGCAAGGCAAAGAGTGGGAAGGATCCCATGGTAGGGGAGGATGAAGCCTCCTCCATTGCATCGACCATCATGAAGCCACTTCGTGCTGCTAAGAGTAGGGCACGCAACTTGTTGCCAGAGAACAGAAAGCTAATTAACAAGATGAAAGAACTCAAGGATATCCTGCTTGAAGCCAAGGAGCTTCGCGATCTTCTTGGCTTACCACATGGCAATACCGTCGACTGGACACCAGCTGTACCTGGAACCGTTGTTCCTACAACAACATCACTTCCCACTTCAAAGGTTTTCGGTCGCGACAGAGATCGTGATCGTATAGTTGATTTTCTTCTCGGCAACACGACAACTGAAGAGGCAAGTTCATCGAGGTACTCAAGTTTGGCCATTGTTGGAACGGGAGGAATGGGGAAGTCCACCTTAGCACAGTATGTCTATAATGACAGGAGGATTGAAGAATGCTTTGACGTCAGGATGTGGATCTGCATCTCACGCAAACTTGATGTGCGACGTCACACACAGGAGATCATCGAGTCTGCGAAAAAGGGGGAGTGCCCATGTGTTGATAATCTTGATACTCTCCAGTGCAAACTACGAGACATACTGCAACAGTCACAGAAATTCCTACTTGTCTTGGATGATGTTTGGTTTGAAAAATCTCATAATGAGACAGAGTGGGAGCAACTCCTGGCTCCATTAGTCTCTAAACAGTCGGGAAGCAGAGTTTTGGTGACTTCTCGAGGTGAAATGCTCCCGGCCGCTGTATGCTGTGAACAAGTTGTTCGTTTGGAAAACATGGATGATGCTGAGTTCTTGGGTCTCTTTAAACACCATGCTTTCTCTGGAGTAGAAATTCAAGACCAGCTGTTGCGCACAAAGCTAGAACATATTGCTGAGGAGATTGCTAAAAGGCTTGGAAAATGTCCTTTGGCAGCAAAAGTTCTGGGTTCCAGATTGAGCAGAAAAAAAGATATCACTGAATGGAAAGCTGCACTAAAGCTCAACGATTTAAGTGAGCCCTTCACATCTCTGTTGTGGAGTTATGAGAAGTTAGATCCACGTCTACAAAGGTGCTTCTTGTATTGCAGCTTATTTCCAAAAGGACATAGATATAGACCTGATGAGTTGGTTCACCTTTGGGTGGCAGAAGGCTTTGTTGATTCGTGCAATATGAGTAGGAGGACAATGGAAGATGTTGGGAGGGATTACTTGAATGAGATGGTCTCTGGATCTTTCTTCCAATCGGTTTCTGAAAGGTATTGCTATGTCATGCATGACATCCTTCATGATTTGGCAGAGTCACTCTCTAGAGAAGACTGCTTCAGATTAGAAGATGATAATATGACAGAAATACCATGCACTATTCGACATTTATCTGTTTCTGTTGAGAGTATGCAAAGGCATAATCAAATTATCTACAAGCTACAGCATTTACACACTGTTATCTGCATCGATCCACTAATGGATAATGCAACTGTTATTTTTGATCAGATACTGCAGAACCTGAAGAAGGTGCGTGTATTGCATTTGTCATTTTACAACAGCAGCATGTTACCTGAATCTGTTGGTGAGCTGAAGCACCTTCGGTATTTGGACCTCACAATGACAACGATTTCTGAATTGCCTAGATCATTATGTGCTCTTTACCACTTACAGTTACTTCGGTTAAACGACAGTGTGGGGAGGTTGCCTGACAAAGTTTGTAATTTGAGTAAGTTACGGCATCTGGAAGGGTGCAACGATCAAATTCCCAACATTGGCAAGCTTACTTCGTTACAACCGATATATGTCTTTTCTGTGCAAAAGAAGCAAGGATATGAGTTGCGACAGCTGAAGGACTTGAATGAGCTTGGTGGCAGTTTAACAGTAAAAAATCTTGAGAATGTCATTGGAAAGGATGAAGCCTTAGAGTCGAAGCTGTATCAGAAATATCGCCTTAAAGTGTTGACGCTTGAGTGGAGTTCCGAGGATGGCATGGATGCAATGGATATTCTGCATTTGGATATTCTAGAAGGTCTGAGACCGCCACCCCAACTGAGTGAGCTCACAATCAACGGTTACAAATCTGGCACATATCCTAGGTGGTTACTTGAGCGATCCTATTTTGAAAATTTGGAAAGGTTTGAGCTTGATCACTGCAGCTTGCTAGAAGGCCTACCACCAGATACAGAGCTCCTTCAGCATTGCTCTTGTCTGTATCTACGGGACGTTCCAAATTTGAAGACATTATCATGTATTCCAGCAAGCCTTACAGATTTGTCAATCCACAGCTGCCCACTGCTTACATTTGTCACCAAAAATCAGCTCGAGCAACATGACTTGAGGGAAAATATAATGAAGGCAGATGACCTGGCGTCTAAACTTTCATCGATGTGGGAGGTGGATTCAGGATCACGTATTAGGAGCGTACTATCAGTGGACACTTCATCCCTGAAGCAGTTGACAGCGCAGATGGGTGATGATATATCACATCATCTTCAAATTATTGAAAGTGGCCTAGAGGAAGGAGATATAATATCGGTGAAAGAAAATATCATCAAGGCTTGGCTTTTTGCCATGAGCAGAGGATAAGAGGCATTTATGGAAGGACCACGGAGATGCCGCTGGTTCTACCATCTGGAATTCGTAAACTTTGTCTTTGTTCATGTAGTATTACAGATGAAGGTTTGGCTATTTGCCTTGGTGGCCTCACTTCACTGAGAACCTTAGAATTGGGTTATAATATGGTCTTAACTGCACTTCCGTCACAGGAGGTGTATGAGCATTTGACAAAGCTTGAGAGCATTGAAATCACTGCTTGTTGGTGTCTCAGATCACTGGGGGGCCTACATGCTGCTCCATCTCTTTCCAGTCTTAACTGTACGGATTGCCCTTGTTTAGAGCTGGCACGTGGAGCAGAATTTATGTCGTTCAACCTTGATAAGCTCCTCAGCATACGTGGCTGCATACTTCCAGCTGATTCATTCATTAATGGCTTCCCACACCTGAAATATCTTTGCATTTATAGCTGCAGAAGCTCCCCATCCTTATCGATTGGCCACCTGACCGCCCTTGAATTATTACATCTAGAGTATCTCCCTGATCTGTGCTCGCTTGAAGGTCTGTCTTCCCTGCACCTTATGGACCTAAGTTTGGTAGATGTTCCAAACCTCACTGCCAAGCACATCTCACAGTTCCGTGTCCAGGAAGATCTCACTGTTAGTAGCTCCGTATTGCTCAACCACATGCTCATGGCTGAAGGGTTTAGAGTCCCGTCGTATCTTTGTCTTTATGATTGCAAGGAGCCGTCAGTTTCATTTGAAGAACCCGCAAATCTCTCATCTGTCAAGACGCTGGCATTTTGGAGGTGCAAAATGGAGTCCCTGCCAAGAAATCTGAAATTTCTCTCAATCTGCAGAATCTTGATATCTCTGGTTGCCCCAACATAACATCTTTACCAGATCTGCCGTCCTCCCTCCAGCGCATAAGTATATGGTGTTGCCCCGTCTTGAAGAAGAACTGCCGAGAACCTGATGGAGAAAGCTGGCCAAAGATTTCGCACATCCGCTGGAAGACCTTCGACTAGTATTGAACTTGCTTCTTTAGACTTTCCACTTGTGTGAAAAGAAATAAGAAGGTAAAGGCTCCACTGTCATTCTCGATTCTCCAGGACTAATTATGTTTTCCAATATTTGACATACTTCAATGTTCCAAACAGCCACCTCGAGGTCACTAAGTCATTTCCGCAGCCGGCGGCACCCAGTTCAAGCCAAAAGGCAACCCATGGCTGCTTATGTTGCCCGGCGCCCCGGTCACCGTGAACTGAAAGGCCTCCGTCAGTCCCATCGATTCTCAGGTGTTTGTTCCTCCTATACCATTTCACTTGTCCTGTTATTCCTTCGTTGCTCATTAATAATTGCCAGCACATATTTCTCTAATGGTAGAATAAGCCTCCAACGATGAAGATAAAAACTGTGGTTATCGCTTTGAGGCCAATTGGTCGATTGTTTGTAATAAGAACAGCTATACTCTCATGTGGCTCTGCAAAGTTTCGAATGCCAACGACGAGTAGTGTGTTTGTAATAAATTCGTATTTTCTTTGCTTCCGTGGTTCTGTCGTCGTCGTTAGTGTTTGCTCATGTCATGTGTGCTCTGAGTTTTTATTTTCATGTGCCTGCCTAACTTATTCAAGCAGAGGAAGGGGAGCGCGTTGCCGTTGTTCTGCTACTCTGCTTCAAATGAGCGAGGAAGACGAGATGGGCCGGCCCAAATAGATGAGTTTGTACTACGGAATCCAATACCGCAATATTCATCCCTGTTTTGTTCAGCGTATCCCCGTCCCCCGTTCGGGCCTTCTCTTGTGTTCCGGCGCCAGCGCCAGCACCGCACAAGGCCGAGCGTTGAACCCTCCGTGTCGCCGGTCTGGCCGGAGTCAGGTCTCGCCGTCTCGGGGATTACTTTTACTGCGGCAGTTGCGGGGCGCGAGGCCGTGCTCCAGGAACCGACAACCCTAGTACAGCCCCGACGAGCCTGGCGTCACGGCTGATTCCTCTCACAAAGCAGCAGTACTAGTGCAAGACACTGGTCAGTGGTTAGTCAAAAAATTTCTATCCTGCTGTGATGCCTATGCTAGTGCTCAGCTAAAGGATAAAAAATATTGCACGATAACTCATCCAATCCAAGTAGTACAAGGCCAAAGCCTTGCTGATAACATTTTTGATAAATTCATAGACCTTGTCTACTCCATGTTCGGCCTTCATTCATTTATTGCAAGGGAGGATACGGTCAAACCGTTGCTTTCTCAAGGATAGAAACGAAACCCGGTAAAGCTACCCAGAAGCTTCCTTTGTCTGTGTTTATGGTGACTAGTGCTTCACTCCAAATGCAGGTCCCAACAATAATTGGCCTTATTCAACAATGAACAATAATACTGGTACTCCTATTTCAGAGCAGTCCCAATCGATAGACCTTGTCTACTCCTCTTTCTCCACTTTCCTCTTTCCTTGCTTCTTCCTTTCCCAGCGAGCAGCAGAAGGCCGGTAAACCCTCAGCAGCCAGCAGCACCATCAGTCTCCTCTACGTGAAACCACAGAACAGATCATCACCAGCAATCTGTTAAAAAAAAGATCATCACCAGAATCAAAGACGGCATCGCCTAAGCTTTTCCGGTATTATTCTGATTTTCCCCACCGACAGAGCTGCTTCCCTCCTTCGCAGCCAGCGTGTATCCCTTATTCTTGGTGACTACCTGTTTGTTCTCTTGAAGTGCAGTGGTTTGTTCCAGAGTCCCGTCCACCACTCCGCCACGCTTTTCGCTCGTTGTCGACACCGGCTCCGCAACCTCTCTGCTCCCAGCGCCCTTGATTCACTTGGTGTAACTTCATCCCGCAACACCGTGTAAGATCATAAATCTCTACTCTTAGTTTGTTGTGTTAACACTAGCTATTTCGCTCTCTGCAGTCAGAGCAGCACGAGAAAGCAAAATAATCAGTTTGTCTTCATTTTTCTAATCAGATTCACTAATTCTATGTGTCTTCCCAATTCCAGGTTTTCTTCACCCTGTTGCTGTCCTTCTCAGTAATTTGCCTTCTGCAGAAGCACCTCATCCATACATAAAAAAGAAAACAGCTTCCATCGTCCATCCATTCATCTTTCTTCTCCTGTTTAATCTTTCTCTTCGCCACCAGACCCTTGCACCCTGCATCTTCAACTTGTTCATTTCACTCCTACGACAAAAGAAAAGAAAAAATATAGAAAACCAAAAAAAAGGAAGGAAAAAAAAGATATTAATTGTACTCTTTGCTTGTTTCTGCTTCCCATCGTCCATCCTTTCATCTATTCTGTTCATGTTTCATCCACCTTGTCCTGATTTTCTCGGTCACTAGACACACTCGCACCCCACATCATCTACTCGTTCATTTCTTGTACTCATTCATTTCGCCCCTACCAGAAAACAAAAACTTGAAATCACCCCCCCCCCAAAAAAAGGAAGAAAAACAGTATTTCGCCATCAATTTTTTTCCCATCGTTGCTTAATTTTGGCCCCTGCAAAACCCAAACATTTCGTGCTTCGCTTTGTCCTATTCTTTTCATCTGGAAAAACTTGCATCTTGGTTCAAAATTTTCCTCCTATTACATTGCAGTCCCTACCAGTTATTTCCCCTCTGCAGAAGCACCTCATCCATACTAAAAAAAAAACCAGCTTTCTTTCTGATTCGCACCGTCCATCCATTCATCTATTGTGTTCCTTCCATTACCAATTCACCCTGTCATCTTCTTTTCATCTGGAAACACTTACATCCAAGATCTCTTCGCTCAGAAAAGAAGGGGAAGCACAAACCACTGCATCCATGGCAGACTTGGCGCTCTCTGGCTTAAGGTGGGCAGCATCGCCAATCATCAACAAGCTCCTAGCTGATGCTACAGATTACCTCAGCGTGGACTTGGTGCGTGAGCTCCAAAAACTAGAAGCCACTGTCCTGCCACAGTTTGACCTGGTGATTCGAGCGGCAGAGAAGAGCTCCCACAGGGGCAAGCTGGAGGCATGGATCCGGAGGCTCAAAGAAGCCTTCTATGATGCTGAGGACCTGCTGGATGAGCATGAGTACAACCTCCTCAAGCGCAAGGCAAGGAGTGGGAAGGATCCCATGGTAGGGGAGGATGAAGCCTCCTCCATTGCATCGACCATCATGAAGCCACTTCGTGCTGCTAAGAGTAGGGCACGCAACTTGTTGCTAGAGAACAGAAAGCTAATTAACAAGATGAAAGAACTCAAGGATATCCTGCTTGAAGCCAAGGAGCTTCGCGATCTTCTTGGCTTACCACATGGCAATACCGTCGACTGGACACCAGCTGTACCTGGAACCGTTGTTCCTACAACAACATCACTTCCCACTTCAAAGGTTTTCGGTCGCGACAGAGATCGTGATCGTATAGTTGATTTTCTTCTCGGCAAGTCGACAACTGAAGAGGCAAGTTCATCGAGGTACTCAAGTTTGGCCATTGTTGGAACGGGAGGAATGGGGAAGTCCACCTTAGCACAGTATGTCTATAATGACAGGAGGATTGAAGAATGCTTTGACGTCAGGATGTGGATCTGCATCTCACGCAAACTTGATGTGCGACGTCACACACAGGAGATCATCGAGTCTGCGAAAAAGGGGGAGTGCCCATGTGTTGATAATCTTGATACTCTCCAGTGCAAACTACGAGACATACTGCAACAGTCACAGAAATTCCTACTTGTCTTGGATGATGTTTGGTTTGAAAAATCTCATAATGAGACAGAGTGGGAGCAACTCCTGGCTCCATTAGTCTCTAAACAGTCGGGAAGCAGAGTTTTGGTGACTTCTCGAGGTGAAATGCTCCCGGCCGCTGTATGCTGTGAACAAGTTGTTCGTTTGGAAAACATGGATGATGCTGAGTTCTTGGGTCTCTTTAAACACCATGCTTTCTCTGGAGTAGAAATTCAAGACCAGCTGTTGCGCACAAAAAGCTAGAACATATTGCTGAGGAGATTGCTAAAAGGCTTGGAAAATGTCCTTTGGCAGCAAAAGTTCTGGGTTCCAGATTGAGCAGAAAAAAGATATCAC